CTTTAACTTGAGCAATGGAAGGGTAGAGGTGGCAAAGTTAGGGCAGGTGATGAGAGAAAATCAGGAGTGTGGATTGGGATACACTCCTTAATTTTTTTTTTGAGATGCAGTTTTGCTCTTGCTGCCCAGGCTGGGGTGCAATGGTGCAATCTTGGCTCACCACAACCTTCACCTCCCAGGTTCAAGTGATTCCCCTGCCTCAGCCTCCTGAGTAACTGGGATTACAGGCACCCACTATCATGCCCAGCTAATTTTTATATTTTTAGTAGAGATGGAGTTTCACCATGTTGGCCAGTCTGGTCTCGAACTCCTGACCTCAGGTGATCTGCCTGCCTTGGCCTCAAAAAGTGCTGGAATTACAGGTGAGAGCCACCACGCCTGGCTACACTCCTAAATTTTAAGAAAATTTTTAAAAAATGTTTATATTAGTTGGATGTGGTGGCACGCCTGTATTCCCAGCTACTCAGGAGGCTGAGGTGAGGTTAGCTTGAGCGTAGAAGTTCAAGGCTGCAGTGAGCTAGGATTGCATCACTGCATTCTAGCCTGGGTGACACGATGCAACCCTGTCTCTAAAAAGCAAATAAAAGCTGCCGGGTGTGGTGGCTCACACCTGTAATCCAAGCACTTTGGAGGTAAGGACTTGGGATTTCTGCCCTGACCTTTGAGCAAGAGAGGAAGCTGGTGAATAGCTGGAGTAAGAATCTTCCAGGCAGAAGGCATGGCGAGGGCAAAGGTCCCGAGGCTGGAGTGTGCTGGCTGTGTTAGGGTCACCGAAAGGAGGCCAGTGTGGCTGCAGCAGAGGGAGGCAGGGCAGACAAAGTGTTGACAAAGGCCAAGGCGGGCAGATCACCTGAGGTCAGGAGTTCAAGACCAGCCTGACCAACATGGTGAAACCCCATCTTCAAAAAAAATAAATAAAATAAAATAAAAGCAATAAACATCCTGAGTGAGACCCTGAGAAAATCTGAGTCAGGGAATGAGGTAAGTTGTTTTTGGACTCCTTACTACAAAAACGAAGACAAAATAAATGTGCTGTCTTAAGCCGCTAATTTTGGGGTAATTTGTTATGCAATAGTAGGTAACTAGTACATGTCACATTTCTACAAACATGTCTCTACATACAACAGCGGCCGCCCCAAAACGTATCCTGGCTGGGTATAGTGGCTTATGCCTATACTCTCAGCATTCTGGGAAGCCAAAGTGGGAGAATTGCCTGAAGCCAGGAGTTCAAGACCAGCCTCGGCAGCATAGGGAGACCCTGTGTTGTATTTAAAAAACAACAACAGAAAGAGTTGTGTAGGGGAGGATCTGTTTCCAAGCTCCCTCGTGGGACTGTTGGTAGGATTCCGTTCCTCACAGGCTCTTGGCTGGCAACCTCTGATCTTGGTGGTATGAGCCTTTCCATAAGGACATTCTCAACATGGCAACCAGCTTCCCTCAGAGGGCGCACAGCACTGATGTCATCGTCTTTCTGTAACCTAACCTTGGAAAGGACACCCCATTGCTTTTGCTATGTTCCCTGTGCTAGAAGAGGCTCACTGGGTCCTGCCCACATCTCAGAAGAGGCAATGAATGTGAACATCAGTTGGCAGGGATCTTCGGGAACCACGTTAGAGCTGTCTACCACATCAAGGAAGCGACTGCATAAGCAAAGCCAGGGTTAGAGGGGAGGTCCGGGCTGAAGATACCTATGGGGTTTAGTGGTGGGCCTGGACCAGGTGAGCTGGGAGCCAGGGAGACAGAGAAGGACTGAGCCGGGGGCACTCCAATGTTTGGAGCTAAGGAAGATGAGGAGAGGTCAGCAAAGGAGACGGAGCAGAAGGGGCCAGTGTGGGAGGGGAGGGATGGAGAGGGAGGCACAGGAGCCGCCAGAGACACCTGTTGGCAGGAGAGAAGGATCAGCAGTCGAAGGCCACTGCAGGACAGGTGAGCAAAGGCGGAGAACTGACCACCGGCTTGAGCAGTGTGGAGATGGCCTTGACAAGAGCAGTCCCAGGGGAGTGGAGGAAGTGAAACCCAACTGGATGGGTTCTAGAGAGAACAGGAGACCAGGAAGTGAAGGCAGAGGCAACCATGCTTTGGAAGAGTCTTGGTAGAGAGGATAGCACAACCTTGCATTTGAGCGTCTTCAGCTTTCTCAACTCAAGTAACTCTCGGTTGAGCTGATTCTTGGAACTCTGCTTCTCCCTACACTTCTTCAACACGCAGGTTTCCTCAGCGTTGCCCAGTCCACCTCCCACCCCAGCGACCTGAACCGGGATGGTTCAGAACCCAGAAGTCTGCCCATGTTTTATATTTTATTTTGCGTTTCTGGTACTAGCAAGTCACAATCAGACTAGACATGCCTTGTGAGACTGGGGCAGAGACACACATTAGCTCCCAGTCATTAGCTGGAAGCTCCGTAAATCCAAATCAGCTACCCTTAGAGCATCTGGCTTTGGGCTAAGCAAAAGCTTATTACTGACTGCCATCTTGTGGTCATTTGGGGAACTGGCCCAGGTTCAAATCAGAGTGGTGGAAAGAGTTGAGTGGATTGTAGGACAGTACCTGGCGCTGAGGGTTCAGGAAAAGCGAACTACTCTCATTGTGCTCAATAGTTTGGAGGAGTATGGCCCAAACAAACAAACATGTCTCTTGACTTCACTCCCAACATTTTTCAAGGGAAAAGAAACTACCCTAAAAGGAGGTGCTTCCTTTTTATCTTGGTAAAAGTAAAACTGAATCAGGGAGCAAAGTAAGACTTTCATGTATGAAGTCAGATGATGAGATGCAAGTCCTGCTTTTGCCACTATGTGACTTTGATCTTATCACCGAAGCCCAGTGAGCCTCAGTTTCATCAGACCATAAAATGGGAGCATTAGGATGAAGACTGCACAAGTGGTGAATGTGAACAGCTCTAAGGAAAAGTGGCGTTCCTAGTTCAAGGTAATGGCCTGCCAGCTCTCAACACTGGGGTGTGTTGCTTTTCAATAGTGTCTCTCAACTAGGAGCAATTTTGCCCCACCCGCACCCCACCCCAGGGGATATTTGACAATGCCTGAAGATATCTTTTGGGGTTCTTTTTGGTTTTCAAAGTGTTGAGCCTGTGTTTTTGTTTTTGTTTTGAGATGGAGTCTGGCTCTGTCACCCAAGCTGGAATGTAGTGGCACAATCTCGGCCCACTGCAAGCTCCACTTCCTAGGTTCAAGCAATTCTCCTGCCTCAGCCTTCCGAGTAGCTGGGACCACAGGCACCTGCCACTATAGCCAGCTAAGTTTTGTGTTTTTAGTAGAGGCAGGGTTTCGCTGTGTTGGCCAGGCTGGTCTCGACCTCCTGACCTTAAGTGATCCATCCACCTTGGCCTCCCAAAGTGCTGGGATTCCAGGTGTGAGCCACCTCACCCAGTCAATCCTGTTTTACTATCCGACTTGAAACCTAGATAATCCACCAGCCCAGGAGGGAATGGGTGGGCTTAATCCCCTGGAGATATTTTTGGTTGTGACAGCATGGGGGACAGGCAGATGCTCCCAGTGAATAGTGGGTAAAGATCAGGGATGTTGCTAAACATTCTACAGTGCAAAGGAGAGCCCCCCCACAGGACAGAATTATCCAGTCCAGAATGTCAATAGTGCTTCAGCTGAGAAATCCTGGCACTTTTTCTTTTCTTTTCTTCTTTTCTTTTCTTTTCTTTTTTTCTTTTCTTTTCTTTTCTTTTCTTTTCTTTTCTTTTCTTTTCTTTTCTTTTCTTTTCTTTTCTTTTCTTCTTTTCTTTTTTAAATAAAGACAGGGTTTCACCATGTTGGCCAGGCTGGTCTCAAACTCCCGACCTCAGGTGATCTGCCCACCTTGGCCTCCAAAATGCTTGGATTAAGGCGTGAGCCACCACGCCCAGCCTCTGGCACTTTCTTAAATGGGGATTCTTCTTGCTATGTTATTGTGAACCAACATGAGGAACTGCTTTCTGAAAAGTATGAGGGAAGCAGGGTGAGGCATGACTCTGGAAAGGGGTCTTTTCAATGGGGTATTTTCTTTTCTTTTTTTTTTTTTTGAGACGGAGTTTCGCTCTTGTTACCCAGGCTGGAGTGCAATGGCCCGATCTTGGCTCACCACAATTTCCACCTCCTGGGTTCAAGCAATTCTTCTGCCTCAGCCTCCTGAGTAGCTGGGACTACAGGCACTCGTCACCATGCCCAGCTAATTTTTGTATTTTTAGTAGAGACGGGGTTTCACCATGTTGACCAGGATGGTCTCAATCTCTTGACCTCGTGATCTACCCGCCTTAGCCTCCCAAAGTGCTGGGATTATAGGCATGAGCCACCGTGCCCTGCCCAATGGGGTCTTTTCTAAAGTGAGTCTTCAGAAGGCTGTGCTCTCCAATAGGGTAGTTTTTTGTTTGTTTGTTTGTTTGTTGTTTTTTTTCTTTTTTGAGACGGAGTTTCACTTCTGTTGGCCAGGCTGGAGTGCAATTGTGTGATCTCAGCGCACTGCAACCTCCGCCTCCTGGGTTCAGGTGATTCTTCTGCTTCAGCCTCTCGAGTAACTGGGATTACAGGCACCTGCCGCCATGCGCAGCTAATTTTTGCATTTTTAGTAGAGGCGGGGTTTCACCCTGCTGGCCAGGCTGGTCTCGAACTCCTGTCCTCAAGTGATCCACCCACCACAGCCTCCCAAAGTGCTGGGATTACAGGCGTGAACCACTGTGCTGGGCTGATAGGCTAGTCTTGAGCCAACCCTACATAGTTATTGAAACGGAAATTGGCCAAAATGGAATAAAATTTAAAATTTGGTTAAATTATTGGGTTGTAATAGTCACATTCTAAGTGCTCAGTTGCCACATATGGCTAGTGGCCAGCACAGATAGAGAACATTTCCATCAGCACAGGAAGTTCTGTTGGGCAATACTGCTCCAAAGGACTCAGCAGAACGGGCATCTGTGGGCCAACCCATAAAGGAAAAACTAAAAACTAAGGAAGTGCAGAAGAGAGGGGCCTGTGAGAGGCAAAAACAGACACCAGTGAGACGGTTAAGTAAGCACAAGGCCACATATATCATTAACTACTAAAACAAGTCACACCACACATCTGTACAATAATTAATCCACACAACCCGCCCTCTCCCAAGGATCATTCCACAGTGCATAAAACTCAAAAGCCCTGACAAACCAAGCAGCATCAACAGAAGACTGGCGGGGCAGGGAGGGTTCCGTTGCTGAGGAGCACCGTTCGCTCCCACCTTTCCCGGCAAGGGTCAGTTTCACTTCTGGTACAACATTCTCCAAGGGACAGGTAGCCTTAAGTTCACTGCACTGGTGGAGGAGGACCTGGGGCGGGCTACCTTTTTCACAGCTGGGAGCTCCTGGTAAAGGCTGTACGCATGCTTGAAGATGAAGGGCAGACAGAAAAAGTGCAGGAGCATGTGTGAGATTTGGAAGATCAGGTACAAGTGACTCAGCTGCTTAAACTCATCTCTGATGATATTGTTGAGGAGCAGGACTATGGAGAAGTTGATGAACTCATAAGTGATGATCCACATGGCATAGATCAGCAGCCCCTGAAAGATATTATTATAGATACAATAAAGGAGGAAGCAGCTGATGACGATGGTGGTGAGGGAGAGGGCAGTGCTGATCTCAGCCCTGTGGAACAGGATCCAAGTGACTAGCTTCAACTTTGAGTCCGTGTAGATGCTGAACTTGTCCTCAGAGCCAATGTGTGTAGTCTGATTCAGGTCAAAGATGAAGAACTGGATGGTGTTGAGGACAGAGAAGATGCCCACCACGAGGGAGACCATCCTGGCATTCATTTTATACTTGTTTTACCAGAGCACCTCCTGCAGGAAGAAAATCATGCAGACATGTGACAAGACGGCAGAGCTAGCCTTAGATATAAATAGGAGCGCTAACAGCAATGATGGTATGTGGACAGGCAATGGGCTGGAAGTTAAGGAACATGGGGGCTGGCCCCTGCTCTGACCTAACTAGCTAGATGTGACCACATCATGGGGAAATGGATGTATCACTGGCCTGGGACTCTCCTAAGTACCTTCCAGTTCTGCTGTTCCAGCTCCCGCTTTCCAGCTTTGCTCTAAAGCGGCAGAGAGTGCTCCTGTTGATGATGTAGGTTTGTGGAACTCAGAGGCTCCTGTGTTGGGAATAAGGATGGTACAAACTCCATCTGGGGAGTTTGCTTCTCTGAAGTCAGAAAACTCATGGCTCCTCAAAGGCTTGGAATTGTCCCTGACATCCCCCCGGCCCCGCTACTCTTTCCTTCCAAGCCCTTAGAAATTTCCCTGCTTCGCTCCCTGGGCATGGCCCAGCCTTGTCCCAAGTCACAGGGTTTGGCCAGCAGGAGTGGGTGGAGGTTTATGGATCCAGGTAAGACTTACTGTCTTCTATGTCCGGGGGCCAAGATGCCTTAATGATAAGCCACCGTTGTGCTGGTGAAGGCTCAGCAGGCAGACCTCCAGCTGCAGCCTAGGTTAGACCTGAACTCTAGAGGTCAGCTCAAGGTAAGAGGCAGGAACCTGGTGCCCAGGCAGACCCTGCGGAGGGCATGTTGATAACAGAGGGCCCAAGGCTGGGATAGGCTAGACCCCAGCACACACCTTCCTCCACAACCTGAATCTCCTTACTGGCTCCCAATTCAGAGAACTCTTGAGCAAACCTCTCTCCTTTTCATTCACCACACTGGCAAGCTACTTCTGTTATGGGGCAAAGGAAGGGGCACAATCACACATGAGGAGAGCATAGGGCTGTCCTCTGGCCGACCAATTTCCAGTGGGGGACAGCTTGTTAGAAGCTTGCTTCCTTCCTTCCTTCCTTCCTTCCTTTCTTCCTTTTCTTTCTTTCTTTCTTTCTTTCTTTCTTTCTTTCTTTCTTTCTTTCTTTCTTTCTTTCTTTCTTTCTTTCTTTTTCTTTCTCTCTCTCTCTCTCTCTCTCTCTCTCTCTCTCTCTCTCTCTCTTCAGACTCTTGCTCTGTCACTCAGGCTGGAGTGCAGTGGTGTAATCTTGACTCACTGCAACCTCCACCTCCCAGGTTCAAGCGGTTCTCCTGCCTCGGCCTCACAAGTAGCTGCGATAACAGGCATGCACTATCATGCCCAGCTAATTTATTTATTTTTAGAAGAGACAGGGTTACACTATGTTGGCCAGGCTGGTCTTGAACTCCTGACCTCAAGTGATCTGCCCACCTCGGCCTCCCAAAGTGCTGGGATTATAGTCATGAGCCACCATGGCCGGCCATCTCCAGAACTTTTTCATCATCCCTATCAAAGATTCTGTATCCATTAAACATCGACTCCCCATTCCCCTCTTCCCCTGGTCCCTGCTAACCATTTTTCTGGCTGCCTCTGTGAATTTGACTGCTCTAGGTCCCTCCCATAAGTGGAATCATACAACATTTGTCCTTTGGTATCTGGCTTACTTCACCTAGCATAATGTTTTCCAGATTCATCTCAAATTTCTTACACTTTATTTCCCACCATCCTCCCAACCCTGTGTGACTCCAAATCTCCAGATACACAAACCCCTCAGTGCTCCCTAGAACCTGGAGGGCCCAGGAGGGAGACAGCGTGTTGTCTGGTGGCTAGCTGCACTGTTACTTCCCCGTCTGCACAACAAAATCTCACCTCTGCCCAGTTCACAGGGCAGCTGCCAGAGCAGCCACTAACCATGGGGTATTTGCCTGAATTATCCAAAAATTGGGCCTCGAACCACACAGTTTTCTTCCTTTGCTCTATGTCCATGTTGCAAGTTTCAAGGAAATGTCTATATAAACTCCACGGGTGTCCACAGCTCTGCTGCGCCAGCCTTGGTCCCCATCCTTGGCACCTCTCTCCTGGGTCACTGTAATAACGACCTGACTTCTCTTTCTGCCGCTGCCTCTAGTACATTCTATTCATTCAACACTCACACAGCAAACATCTATTGAGTATCTACTAGGTGCTGGGATCTGAGCTTGGTACTGGAGATAGACAGGTAAACATACTAGCGTGGAAGCTGGACAAATTAAAAAAACAAATAAAAAATTTTTTTTAATTAAGAAAAAAGAATACTCATGATGGGCGGATCACAAGGTCAGGAGTTCAAGACCACCCTGGCCAACATGGTGAAACCCCATCTTTACTAAAAATACAAAAATTAGCTGGGCATAGTGGCATGCGTCTGTAATCTCAGCTACTCAGGAGTCTGAGGCAGGAGAACTGCTTGAACCCGGGAGGCGGATGTTGCAGTGAACCGAGATCACGCCACTACTGCACTCCAGCCTGGGCTACAGAGCAAGACTCCGTCTCAAAAAAAAAAAAGAGGCCGGGCACGGTGGCTCAAGCCTGTAATCCCAGCACTTTGGGAGGCCGAGGCGGGGGAACACGAGGTCAAAGGATCAAGACCATCCTGGTCAACATGGTGAAACCCCGTCTCTACTAAAAGTACAAAAAATTAGCTGGGCATGGTGGCGCGTGCCTGTAATCCCAGCTACTCAGGAGGCTGAGGCAGGAGAATTGCCTGAACCCAGGAGGCGGAGGTTGCGGTGAGCCGAGATCGTGCCATTGCACTCCAGCCTGGGTAACAAGAGCGAGACTCCGTCTCAAAAGAAAAAAAAAAAGAAAGAAAAAGGAAAACAGGAAACTTACAATGCAGTGTGATAAATGTGGTAAAGAAAGAGATGGCTTAGTGTTGTCAAGATGTCACAATGAGAGAGATGAGAATCATCGGATGAGAAGCAGGGGAGGCTTTCTGGAGGTGGCAATAGCTGAGCTTAGTTCTTTTTTGTTTTGCTTTTTGTTGTTGTTGTTTATTTTTTAGCCTTTTTCTTAGCTGAGCTTGGGTCTTGAAGGACCAGGGCATTAACTAAGCAGAAAAAGGAGGGCTTTCACCACCAGCAAAGGGGACAGCATCCAGGCAGGCACAGGGACAGGCAATAGCCATTTTGGAAACAGCAAGTTTGGTGTGCCTTGAGCAGAGGGGAAGGCTATATAGGTTGGCAGGGGCCAGATCAGGAAGGAACCTTACCCACTACCAGCCATGTGGATGTTTCTCTGAAAGGCAAAGGAGAGGGTCTTCAGGATGTGTGTGTGTGTGTGTGTGTGTGTGTGAGAGAGAGAGAGAGAGACAGACAGACAAACAGGCAGGCAGGCAGGCAGGCAGGCAGACATAACCAGATTTGCAATTTATTTATTTATTTATTTTTGAGACAAGGTCTCACTCTGTTGCCCAGGCTGGAGTGCAGTGGCACAATTACGACTCACTGCAACCTCCACATCCAAGTTCAAGCGATTCTCCTGCTTCAACCTCCCAAGTAGCTGGAATTACAGGCGCCCGCCACCACGCCCACCTAATTGTTGTAGTTTTAGTTGAGAAGGGGTCTCACCATGTTGGCCAGGCTGGTCCTGAACTCCTGATCCCCACTGGTCTGCCCGCTTTGGCCTCCAAAAGCGTTAGGATTACAGGCGTGAGCCACTGTGCCTGGCCATATTTGCATTTTAGAAAAATCTTTCTTGCTGCTTTGAGGGCCATGGATCAGAAAGGGAGCAAAGGTGGAGGTAGGCAGAGCAGTTGAGAGGCTACGGAAGGTAATGAGGTGAAGCAAGGCAGCAGAGGGATGTTGGGGGACAGATTTGGGGTCTGGGGCTGTGGGAGAAGGAGCCTGGATGAGCACCTGGATGGAAGACACGGAGGTGAGGAGCACAGGGGCAGAAGCGCACTTAGGATGGGAGTGAGGAAGACAGTGATGAGGACGGCTTGGCAAATGGTGACTGCTATGGTTTGACTGTTTGTCCGCCCAAAATTCATGTTAAAACTTAATCCCTAATGCAACAGCATTAAAATGTGGGGCCTTGAGGAGGTGATTAAATCATAAGAGCAGAGCCCTCACGAATGGATAAACGACCTTATAAGGGGACAGGAGGGAACTAGCTAGTTTCTTTTGCTTCTCCATCCCTTCTGCCATGTGAGGACGGTGTTTCTGCCTTTTGGAGGACACAGAAACAAGGCACCGTCTTGGAAGCAGAGTGAGCAGGCCCTTACCAAGCCATGTGGTCACCTCAGAGAAAGGCCAAGTCAGGCTTCCAACAAGCTGTCCCCCATTGGAAATTGGTCGGCCAGAGGACTGCCCTGTGTTCTCCTCATGTGTGATTGTGCCCCTTCCTTTGCCCTATAACAGAAGTAGCTCCCCAGTGTGGTGAATGAGGAGGAGAGGGGTTTGCTCAGGAGTTCTCTGAACTGGGAGCCAGTAAGAAGGAGATTCAGGTTGTGGAGCAAGGTGTGTGCTGGGGTCCGGGCCCCCTGTTATCAACATGCCCTCAGCAGGGTCTGCCTGGGCACCAGGTTCCTGCCCACTGCCTTGAACTGACGTCTAGAGTTCATGTTGACTCTCACTTTTTAAAATCAGATCATTGATTTTCTTGAATAGATACTTCACTTGCTGTATGCCATTGGGGACATTTCCAGAGCCCTTACAGGTTTGTTTTAAAAATAATTTTCAGCGGTTTCACTGGGGAGCAGTTCCATGGATTTCCTTGTGCTGTCATATTGGAAGGTGAACTTCCTATAATGTTTGGTGACATAAATTTAACCTTTTTAAAAAATGCAATGTATGTCCATTTAAATGGATATAAATTTGCATGGGTGAAGAAAGGAGAGGGGCAATAGGGAGAGAAGTTTTATAATTTACCTCAGCATGACTATTAGCAACTTTGTATATTTTAATCCAAAGAAAGCAAAGACTAAGGATCAAAGATTGGCGAGTCCCGATTGCTGTGATGTTATGGTCCATCATGAATGATCTGTGGAATATTACCTGTCTCTTTATCATATATTAAAATTATAACCATCTTTCAAGACATATCAAATCCTGTCACTTTAGTGAAGCCATTTGTGATCACTGCAGTCGGTGCAGACTTCTTCCCCACTCTGGTCCTTTAAAAAAAACTCCTCTCGGCTGGGTGCGGTGGCTCAAGCCTGTAATCCCAGCACTTTGGGAGGCCGAGGCGGGTGAATCACAAGGTCAAGAGATCGAGACCATCCTGGTCAACATGGTGAAACCCTGTCTCTACTAAAAATACAAAAAAAAAAAAAAAAAAAAATTTAGCGCAAAAAAAAAAAAAAAAACTCCTCTCGCAATTGTAGTTTCTTTGACTTACCTTTGCCTTCACAAATAGAATATTTTATTTTATTTTATTTTATTTTTTTATTTTTGAGACGGAGTTTCGCTCTTGTTACCCAGGCTGGAGTGCAATGGTGCGATCTCGGCTCACCGCAACCTCCGCCTCCTGGGTTCAGGCAATTCTCCTGCCTCAACCTCCTCAGTAGCTGGGACTACAGGCACGCGCCACCATGCCCAGCTAATTTTTTGTGTTTTTAGTAGAGACGGGGTTTCACCATGTTGACCAGGATGGTCTCGATCTCTTGACCTCGTGATCCACCCGCCTCGGCCTCCCAAAGTGCTGGGATTACAGGCTTGAGCCACCGCGCCCGGCCACATATAGAATATTTTAAATGTCTCCTCTTTGAGAAGGAAAACATATGAAATTAGACATTCAAATCTCTCTTTGAGAAGACAATCCATTTGGATTACAGAATTACTATAAATCAATTATTTATATACATTTTGTTTATCTGAGTACTCCACAGTGTAGATTGTTTGCTCCAAAATATTTACGACACCTTGTAAACTAACTATCCTAGCTGGGCCAAAATCAAGCATTCTCATTCGTATTGCAGTGTGCTATATTTTATTCCTTCTCTTGAGTTTTTAGTCACTTGAAGGTTCTTGATATCCATTGACCAAGTAGATAAAAATCCTCAAAAGTAGAGTGAGCTGTCTTTAATCTTTTAAAAAATATAATTCCTAGGCCGGACGTGGTGGCTCACGCCTGTGATCCCAGCACTCTGGGAGGCTGAGGCAGCCTTATCACCCGAGGTCGGGAGTTCAAGACCAGCCTGACCAACACGGTGAAACCCCGTCTTTAAAAAAAAATATATATATATATATATATATATATAAAATTCTAAATGCTGGCTTGGATAGATGTTAAGTGTTTGTGACACATATTTCATATAATTGTAGGAAGTCATAAAACATAGTTAGTATAGAAAATAGTAATAGTTAATTAATTTTTCTACCAGGCATGGTGTCTCATGCCTGTAATCCTAGCACTTTGGGAGGCTGAGGTGGTCAGATCGCTTGAGGTCAGGAGTTTGAGACCGGCCTTGTCAACATGGTGAAACCCTGTCTCTACTAAAAATACAAAAAATAGCCAGGTGTGGTGGTGCACACCTGTAATCCCAGCTATCGGAAGGCTGAGGCAGGAGAATTGCTTGAACCCGGGTGGCAGAGGTTGCAGTGAGCTGAGATCACACCACTACACTCCAGTTTGGCGATAGAGCAAGACTCCATCTCAAAAAAAAAAAAAAAAAAAAAATCGGCCAGGCATAGTGGCACACTTCTGCAATCCCAGCTACTTAGAAGGCTGAGGTGGGAGGATTGCTTAAACCAAGGAGATGGAAATTGCAGTAAGCCAAGATCATGTCACTGCACTTCAGTGTGCATGAGAGAACGAGACCTTGTCTAAAAAAATAAAATAAAACAAATTTTAAAAATAAATGGACCAGGCACGGTAGCTCACACCTGTAACTCCAGCACTTTGAGAGGCTGAAGCATGAGGATTGCTTGAGCCCAGGAGTTCATGATTTTGTTCATTATAAATTACTCAGTCTTGGGTATTCTGTTATGGTAGTACAGATTAAGACAGCCTAGAGTAGCTAAAATAAGATCGAGGAATGTGATTTAAAGACTTATTTATTATAATCAAAACAGGACGACATTGGCATAAAGACAAATAGATCAGTGGAACAGAATGGAGTCAATAATTGGGTATACATGTATCTATCAAGTCAATTCAGTGGAGAAAGGATAATCTCTTCAACAGCTGATGCTGAAATAATTGGAGATCCAAGAACAAAAATGTGAAATTTCATCCATATCTCTCATACACACATAAAAAAGAGCTCAAAATGGATTATAGACCTAAATATAAAACAGAAAAATATGAATTCTAGAAGAAAATAGGAGAAAACTTTTGTGACCTTGGGTTAGGCAAAGATTCCTTAGACATCATAATCAAAATTATGGTCCATAAAATAACAAATGGATAGCCAGGCACGGTGGCTCATGCCTGTAATTTCAGCCTTTTGGGAAGCTGAGGAGGGCGGATCACCTGAGGTCAGGAGTTCGAGACCAACCTGACCAACGTGGAGAAACCCGGTCTCTACTAAAAATACAAAATTAGCTGGGCGTGGTGGCAGGCGCCTGTAATTCCAGCTACTCGGGAAGCTGAGGCAGGACAATCACTTGAACCTGGGAGGCGGAGGTTGCGGTGAGCCGAGATCGCGCCATTGCACTCCAGCCTGGGCAACAAGAGTAAAACTCCGTCTCTAAATAAATAAATTAATTAAATAATAGCAAATTGATAAATTGGACTTCATTAAAATTAAAAATCTCTGCCTTTCAAAGGACACAGGTAAAAGAATGAAAAGAAAAGGCACAAACTGGAAAATAATATTTACAAATCATATATCCGATAAAAGATTTGTGTCCAGGAAATATAATGAACTCCCAAAACTCAACAATAAAAAAACCCAGCTAGCCTGATTTTTAGAAATGGGCAAAAGATTTGAACAGATACCTTACCAAAGAAGATATAAGGATGCTGAGTAAGCACATGAAGGATTGCCCAACAATGATATAATACTATACAGCTAGTGCTCGACTTATGACCACAGTCGGGACCGCAGACCGGTCGTAACCCGATTTGGTCGTAAGTTGAGTAGGCTATATGTACAGTTGAAATGGTGCACGCAGAGATGGTAGTGCTGCCGGAAGCTGGTCCGCACTGTCGTACGTCCAGCTGGGCAACGTTTGCGCTGCCAGACGCGGAGCAGTCGTGGCTAGCGATTGTGGTCGTAAAGTCGAATGGTCGTAAGTTGCATAGGTGGTAAGTCGATCAATACCATACTGTTAGAATAGCTCGGCCAGGCGTGGTGGCACACGCCTGTAATCCGAGCACTTTGGGGTGCCAAGGCAGGCGGATCACCTGAGGTCAGGAGTTTGAAACCAGGCTGGCGAACATGACAAAATCCCATCTCTACTAAAAAAAACAGAAAAACTAGCTGGGCATGGTGGCTCACGCTTGTAATCCCAGCTACTCAGGAGGCAGAGGTTGCAGTGAGCAAAGATTGTGCCACTGCACTCCACCCTGGGTAATAGAGTGAGACTCAGTCTCAAAAAAAAAAAAAAAAAAAGTAGACTAGCTTTAATGAAAAATGACTGTCTGTATTAAGTGCTGGTGAAGAGGTAGACGAGCTGGAATTTTCATATACTGTCAGTGGAAATATAAAATGGTATAGCCACTCTGGAAAAAAAAATGCCAGCATCTTAAAAAATTAAAATGATATTTACCTAAGATAAATGAAAGCATAGATCTATTCAAAGTCTTGTATACAAATGTTTATGGTGTTCTTATTCATAATTACTAAAAACTGCAAACTGCTAGATGTCCTTCAATGGGCAAATGAATAAACGAACTGTGGTACATTCCTGCCATGGCATACCAGTCAGCAATGAAGAAGAATGAATTATCAATACACAATGCAACATGGATGAATCTCAAAGGCACTATGCTGAGTAAAAGAAGCCAGACTGAAACAGAGTACATGCTGTATTATCCCATTTATGTAAAATTCTAGAAAATGCAAACTAATATATAGTGACAACAAATCAGTGCCTGGTGATGGTGGAGGTGGTGTAGACAGGGACAGAAGTCAGGGATACATAGAAGCTGGAAGGTGATATATACGTCTATGAACTTAATTGTGGTGATGGTTTCACTGGGATACACATAGTCAAAACTTGTTAAATTATATGCTTTAAATATGTGCAGTATTTTATTGTATGTCAATTATACTTTAAGAAAGCTACTAACAAGACAAAAACTCAATGCAATGTCCAATTTTTGAAGCAGAAATATTCTTAGTTTGTCTTCCATCTCAGTTTAAAGTGCTTCCAGTTGGGTGCAGTGAGTGGCTCACACCTGTGATCCCAGTACTTAGGGAAGTTGAGGCAGGTGGATCACCTGAGGTCAGGAGTTCGAGACCAGCCTGACCAACATGGTGAAACCCCGTCTCTACTAAAAATACAAAAATTAGCCAGGCGTGGTGGTCCGTGCCTGTAGGGTTGAGCAGGAGAATTGCTTAAACCCTGGAAGTGGAGGTTGCACCATTGCACTCCAGTCTGGGCAACAGAGAGAGACTCAGTCTCAAAAAAAAAAAAAAAAAAGAGTGCTTCAGACAGTCTCTGAACCTGAATCCAAAGTGATGTCTGTTGATTTGTGATAGTGTGTAATCATATACTGTCTTGTATGTTTGGCTGGCTAATTGATTCATAAACAATAGTTTCTTCCACTAAACTGCAAAATTCTCATAGTCAGGCTTCATATCTTGTACATTTTTGTATACAGTATATACACAATGTTCAGTACAGTGTTCACACTACGGTGTACAGCACAGCATCAGATATAGAAATATATTTAACATGTACCTTTGATTAAGGAAATGCCTTTCATACTCCTTGACAAATTTGGGAAGGGTGGGGAAACTCAAGACAGAAATTGAAGGACGAATTTTCTCTATATTTTTATTATTTTCCTTATCTGGAATAAAACAGAAGACATAGTGGGGAAATCATAGCACAAATCCACCCTAGGACCAACAGTATACTTTGTGCCACAAAAATCTGAGGTATAAATACAGATTTGCTTATCCCAGGGTTAAATTAAAGAGTTATGGGTTGAAGGCTAACCAAGACCAAGAAAAAAGGATTGCCATACTGCAATTCAGCTTCATTTTATTCCACTCATTTTGACCAATAGGTGGTACTGATCAAATAAGGAAGGTGGAATTCACAGAAGGTTTGATAAATCACAATATCCTTTAACCAAACACCTTCAATAAGCAGGATGTTCCAGTTCTGATTACAATCACATTTTCTCTCCATGTTCTCCTGAAAGAGTGGCAGGACTTGCAGGACTGCTAAGCAAAAGTGGGGGTGGGGGAAGGAAACAGAGCTGCCCTGGGAACCTAAGAGACCTCCCTCTCAGGGGAAAGAAAAGGGCCAACATTATTGCTTATAGTGGTGGATAAAGCTGCTAATTTTTTTTTTTTTTTGAGACAGGGTCTCATTCTGTCACCCAGGTGCAATATTGGCTCACTGCAACCTCTGCCTTCAGGTTCAAGCGATTCTCCTGTCTTAGCCTCCCAAGTAGCTGGGATTACAGGTGCATGCCATCACACCTGACTAAGTTTTATATTTTTTTTAGTAGAGACAGGTTTTCGCCATGTTGGCCAGGCTGGTCTTAAACTTGTGATCTCAGGTGATCCACCCATCTCGGCCTCCCAAAGTGCTGGGCGTCCAGGTGTGAGCTCCCAAGCCCAGGAAGACCTGATAATCTTTTATTTCTGCTGTGTATAGACTCCACCGTAGAAATTCGTCTCTTGTATGAAATTATACTGCCCTGGCTCTGGTTTTTGTAGGTTATGTGGGCATAGGTGATGACAAAGAACATCCAGAAACAGTGCAAGAGTGTACGACACACCAAGCCAAACCAGCGCATGACTTTGACCTCTTCAATGCTGAAGTCAATGTTGGTGAGGATTTGTATTACAATGTTTACAGCTTCATAGAAAAAAATCCAGACAATGTAGATGACCAGGCCCCTGAAGATCTGGGCATACACTGAGTACAGGAGGAAGCAGCTGATGAAGATGGTGATGAAAGACAGGAAGAGGACGATTTTCCAACTCCAGCAGGTGATGAAGTTATTTATGATGTCACTTGACCCCTTGTCCTTTGGTGTGATCTCAGTGCAATTGCCATTCCCTAGGTACTTCTGCTCAAAGATGAGATACATGTCTACGGCCAGGATGGTGAAGACCCCTGACAACACAGAGCCCATTTTGGCCGTCATTCCACACCACCGCTGCTGTTTCATGCTGAGACCTCCTGTGAAGACAAACAACATGAGGGAGAATTCTAGTTCCTGCCAACATGGTAAATTACCAGGGTTTCTGCCTCCTTCCCAAAATCCACCTTGGAGAAATAGAGGCAGAAATATGGAAACCAGGAAATTACAGCCTTGGGGAGACAGAGGCTGTTTAAAATGGACTGGAGGTGGGGAAGAGAGAGGATTCACTCAAGTTGGTGGCAATGACCAGATAAAATGACAGCAGTGGTTCTCAGCCCTGGCTTCACGTTAGAATCACCAGAAGTACCCAAGTCCAGGCCCCACCTCCCAGACCAATCACAGCATTCTCTGGGTGGGACACAGACAACAGTATTTTTCAAAACTTGCTAGTAATTTTCATATGTAGCCAGTGTTGGAAAAAACTGAGTTAGAGAAAGATGGTTTCAAATATGCTCTTAGCTGGGCATAGCGGCTCATGCCTGTAATCCCAGCATTTTGGGAGGCTGAGGTGTGAGGATTGCTTGAGTCCAGCAGTTCAAGACCAGCCTGGGCAACACGGGGTGAAACCTCATGTCTCAAACTTAGTCAGGTGTGGTGGTACATGCCTGTAGTTTTAGCTACTTGGGAGGATGAGGTAGGAGGATCACTTGAGTCCAGGAAATCAAGACTGCAGTGAGCCAAGATCACGCCACTGCACTCCGGCCTGAGTGACAAAAGCAAGACCCTGTATCAAAAAAAAAATATATATATATATATTATGCTGTTAACTCTCCTAGCATTGCCTTGGGCTACCATTGCTACCCAGATGGTGAAAATTGCCTGTACTTTTTCAGACCTGAATGCAGATGTTTCAGAATATAACCAGGGCAGCACAAGAATCCTGTTGGGGTGGAGCTGATGAAAACAGGAGGACACCAGCTGGCTTTGGGCGGACACTCCTCTGCTGCATATCAAAATATGGATTACAATGAAAGATGCACTTTAAAGGAAATTTGGAGCTTTAGGGTAGACTAGCCTTACAATAGAAATGAAAATGTAATAATGAGCTAAGTATTCAACTCAAGAAGTCAGAGGGAAAATAAGAACAATACAAAAGTAGGAGGAAGAAAATAAATAGAAGAGCAGAAGTCAATGAAACAGGGGAAGAAAATAAATAGAAGGGCAGGAGTCAATGAAACAGGAAACAGAGCAGAGGGACTTCTGACTGGTTAGATTATTTGGGTCCTGACATAAAAAATGCTGGATAAAATAGTTTACAAATAGAAAGTATAAGGCCAGGCGTGGTGGCTCACGCCTGTAATCCCAGCACTTTTGGAGGCTGAGGCGGGTGGAGCACCTAAAGTCAGGAGTTCAAGACCAGCCTGGCCAACATGGTGAAACCCCATCTCTACTAAAAATACAAAAATTAGCCGGATGTGGCAGCACGTGCCTGTAATCCCAGCTACTCGGGAGGCTGAGGCAAGAGAATTGCTTGAACCCAGGAGGCGGAGGTTGCAGTGAGCCTAGATCACGCCACTACACTGCAGCCTGGGTGACAGAGCAAGACTCTGTGTCAAAATAAATAAATACATAATTAATTAAAAAATAAAGTTTAGAAGTGCTGCCCAAGTGGGAGGAAGTAAATTTTGCTCTGAGGTTATTTGCCAGTCTAGGCAAACTTGAATTTCATTATGACAACCATGCAGGGTAAAGAGGAATGAAATCAAAGCTCAGGGTCCACCAAGATGAGGAGTGTTTCCTATATTAGTTGTGAGCACCCCCACAGGCCTATGATTAGGGAAAAGGTGAATCAGGAGTAAACCTCCCCTACACCTTTCTGCCAGAAAACTCCAAGAAAAGGACATTGTAATCATAGCTGGGTGTGTGTGTGTGTGTGTGTGTGTGTGTGTGTGTGTGTGTGTGTGTGTGTGTGTGTGTACTCATAGCCCAAATTGGATGAAGTATTTTTTTTTAAGTTATAAATCTAGTTTAAAGTAGTCCCGAACTGAAAGTGTGTCTAAGTGCCTGGCAGAAGCAAATTCAGATCCTCTCTGGAGGATTGTACTTTTATGCTGGTCTTCATCCTCTAAGAATCTTTATCAGCAATTTTTCAGGGACAATGACCAGTACAGGGTGAAAAATAACCAAGCACATGAAGAACAAGGCACTGTGAGAACCAGCCGAAACAACAGATAGCAAAACAGAATTGCAGTAATATCTGATTATAAAACAATTATGATTACTAGATTTTTGCATTATTTCAATTGTTTATATTACTTTTATTATAGTATGATTCATACACATACAATACACAGATATATAATATACATCTACACAAGATAAAATTTTACATCTTAACCATTTTTAAGTAGACAGTTTAGTAGTGTTAAGTATATTCATTTTGTTGTACAACCCATCTCTAGAACTTTTTCATCTTGCAAAACTGAAACTCTACACCCATTAAGCAACAAATTCCCGTTTCCTCCTACCCCAGCTACCGGAAACTATTATTCTACTTTTTGTTTCTATTAATTTGACTACTCTGGATATGTCATGTAAGTGGAATCTTTTTTTTTTTTTTTTTTGAGATGGAGCCTCATTCTGTCACCCAGGCTGGAGTGCAGTGGCACGATCTCAGTTCACTGCAACCTCCACCTCCCAGGTTCAAGCAATTCTAGTGCCTCAGCCTCCCAAGTAACTGAGACTACAGGTGTGCACCACCATACCTGGCTAATTTTTGTATTTTTAGTAAGGATGGGGTCTCACCATGTTGGCCAGGCTGGTCTCAAACTCCTGACCTCATGATCCTCCCACCTCAGCCTCCCAAAGTGCTGGGATTACAGGCATAAGCCACACTGCGCTCGGCCAACAATGGTGTTTAACCTGGGAGAGGAGAACAGACCAGGAAATGCAGGGAGCAAAAAATTGCAACATGGTCCTCAAACAGAACAATCTATTAAGGAAATTTGAATACAAATGCTTTAAGGCAGGTGAATGCTGTCCTAATTTCTATAATCTCTAACACTCCTTATTAACTTTATCTGTTTTTTTTTTTTTTGAAATGGGAGCTTGCTATGTTACTCAGGCTGGCCTCAAACTCCTGGGCTCAAGTGATTCTCCTGCCTTAGCCTCGCAAGTAGCTGGGACCATAGGTACAACCCACCATACCCAGCCCTAGTATCATCATACCCCTCAACCTCACCCATTTATTTGACTTGCCTATCTTTCTCTAAAAGGCCTTAGAATTCTAGACTCTTGCTTTAGAAATCTCTTTATTTCACTTGATAATGCAAATGGGAAACTTTCTATAACATGGAAACATTAATTTTTTTTTTCCCCTGTATTCCTGTTTGTGACTTTTAAAATCTCGGTATTGGGTCATTTTTTTCCTACAGTTTTTTTTTTTTCATATATGTATATCAAGATATATGAAAGTCAGTATTAAATTGTTTTAATTTTGCAAATTAAAATGTTTACTTTACATGAGGATATCAGTGAAATGAGACAATGATAAAGGTAATGATAAACAGTTTGGGCCGGGCGCAGTGGCTCACGCCTGTAATCCCAGCACTTTGAGAGGCCAAGGCAGGGGGATCACCTGAGGTCAGGAGTTTGAGACCAGCCTGGCCAACATGGTGAAACCCCATCTCTACTAAAAATACAAAACTAGCCGGGCGTGGTGGCACATGCCTGTAATCCCAGCTTCTTGGGAGGCTGAGGCAGGAGAATCACTTGAACACAGGAGGTGGAGTTGCAAAGAGCCAAGGTCGTGCCGTTGCACGCCAGCCTGGACAACAAGAGTGAAAATCCATCTCAAAAAATAATAATAAGGCAAGGTGCAGTGGCTCACCTCTGTACTCCCAGCACTTTGGGAAGCCGAGGCAGGTGGATCACCTGAGGTCAGGAGTTTGAGACCAGCCTGACCAATATGGTGAAACTCCATTTGTACTAAAAATACAAAAATTTGCCGGCCATGGTGGCATGTGCCTGTAGTCCTGGATACTCAGGAGGATGAGATAAGATAATTGCTTGAACCCAGGAGGCAGAGGTTGCAGTGAGCCGAGATCACGCCACTGCACTCCAGCTTGGGTGACAGAGTGAGACTTTGTCTCAGAAATAAAAATAATGATAATAATAAACATTTAGTGAAAGCTTACCTTGTGCCAGGCACTGTATTAGAGTTTCACAACACTCTTGAGGGTAGCTGTAATTGTATGTATTTATTTCCTTGTTGATAGTTTCAAGAGGGGGTGTATTTGTATTATTTATGCATTCAATTTTTAACTGTCAGGAGAAGATCCATCCATAGTTACTAACAACTATTTAGAATTTAGCTCCAACTCAACTGAACAGAGTAAGCCCTTGTTCTGTGGGAGGCCGCTCTTCAACTGGACTTTGGAAAATCTGACTCCTCTCCCTAACAACTTTCAGTTCTACTAGTAACTTCATTAGATTCATTTTATTATTTGGCTCATTCGAAGTTACAGCCATCTATAGACTTAATTTCTAGTACTTTTCCTTAATGTGCTGACTCTGCAGTTGGCTGTTGAGTTGTTTTCTATTGCTGCTATAACAAATTACCACAAATTGAGTGGCTTAAAACAACACAGTTACAATGGTATCTCAGTTCTGTGGGTCCCCAGTCCCAGTGCCTCAATGCTCAACTTGTGGTTTCTCTGCTTCAGGTTTCACAAGGTAGAAACGGAGGTATCCCAGGCCAGCAGGACCGTTCTTGGGGGATGCTGGGAAGAATTCCCTTCCGACCTCCTTCAGGTTGTTGGCTGAATTCAGTTCCTTGCATTTGCAGAACTAAGATCCCCACTTCCTTGCAGGCTATTAGCTGAGGGAAGCCCCTTGCTTCTAGAAGCCTCCTTCCAGGCCTGGCTCCTGGGCACTCAGGGCCAGCAGTGGTGCGTCAAGTCCTTCTCCCGCTTGGAATCTCTCTGACTTCTCCTTCTGCCACAATTTGCTGCCTCTAACTGGAGAAAGTTCTCTCCATTTATGGGTTCGTGTGGTTAGATTGGGCCCACTTGGATAATCCAAGATTATCTCTTTACCT